TTTCCAGGATAAACAACATGGAAAAATCCGAAACAAAAAAAAAGTAGGTACACAAAACAATCAAGAACACACAAAAAAGACATTTCAGTTCTATGAACCTACTACACCATTCAATACAACCATAACATATTAGCTAAAGGGATAGGTAATAAATGCTGTGATGCCCTAGCTGGTGACGCCCTCATCCTATGAATGAATAAAAAATTTAATTTAACCTTACCTTCGCACATGATCCACATATCCCTCAAGTACCAAAATCTGTGTGCTTTGCATATTCTTATCAGCTGAATATCCTCATGTCACTCAATATGTTCTTGACCATTGCAAACCTGTCCTTTTACAGCCACTCTACTGTCTGTTTTAGAAATGTAGTTCCCCTTGAGGATCAAAAGAGCTTCAAAACTGATTGAGGGCAGATGATGCTCGCTGTACTTCACATGCTACAGATGGGTTTTTTTTTGGGGGGGGGGATCATGGACCTCATTAAGCTGCCACTTGGCAGCGAGGGCATCAGTCAGGCTTGAAGGCACCTCCAAGAATGCTTTAATACTTAAGGAATTGGTCTGCAGGATGGTCGCAATTTTCATCAAATCTTCCTTCACCTCAGCAACGTCCTTGAAAAAACTTTCTGGCACAAGGACAAAGTTGAGGTAGAAGCTTTTGCCAGTGCTGAAGGAATGAGAAACAGAGGATTTCAGTGGAGACAATATCCTGATAAACTGAGACTGCGGTGAGGCATGGAGCGGAGTGGGCTGGAGGCATGGAGTGCAGCAGGGCCAGTTATTGGACTGGGGACCAGCACAGGCGGTCAGCGGCTTGCGAGGCCAGTCAGACCACACACGGAAGCCCCTGCGCTGATCTACTGCAATATAGTGTTGATCTGTAATCTGCTAACCTGACTGTAACGTTTATCCTTTTAACTGTATGTCTTATTTTCTAACGTATACTATGAATTACTACAAGGTAACTTCTCTTCATTTCTCTTCTTAGTACCTAAGATTTGTACCTAGGTACTTCGTACCTAAGATGGTTCCATGAGAGGTGACATTGTAAACTTTTCACTACTTCAGTATGCACGACAATAAAACTTAATTCAAATTCTAATTCTTAGTGATGATAGCAATGTAACAGCTGATTTGAAGGGTTTGGTCTCTGGGAATCTTTTTAGTTGTAGTTTCAATAACACATTTACAGAGTACACTGGTCCAGTTATGATCACAGATTTCACAAATGTGGTGCTCATGGATGAAGACATCAATGCAGAATATAAGGACACTGGAGGGGGTAACCTGATGGTTTGAAAAAACAGAAGCAATTGCAGGCACTAAGGATTTAAAAGGGGAAGACATTGACTGTGGTGGCAACTAGAGGGCTTTCTCCACTATGTGGTGTATAGTGGAGATGGATTTGGCAGCCAGTGTGGCATATGGTGCTTCCTCAAGTGAAGCCCCAGCTGCTTGATTGCAGAAAAAACCCTGTTGCCGAGGGCTATTTGATGAGCAATATTGCTCAATTAGTAGCTGTCTGACTGCTTGTTGGCACAGTGGATTTGAATGGTAATAATGATCCAGGCAGCAGACCCTGGCCGTATCAATTAGAGACTTGAAATAGAGGATCATGAGCTGGACAATGATTTCAAGAGGACAGAACTGTGGACTTGAACAGCAAAGTGAATGCATATATGTTAACAGTAGCTTTATGGGAAGCTGGCAGTATCATGGATATGGAGGATCTCTCCAACAGCAAACTTACCAGTGTTGTAGGGGACTGCCAATGGAGAGAGCTGGGTTCCTAAGGGATCTTGTGGTGCAGTGTCACTACCTCTAGGCAAGGGGACCCAGGATCAAGTCCCACCTCCAGAGGCAAGCATTAACATTTCTGAACAGGATAATCAGAAAGTATAAAAACCAGCTGAGATCGTCTCCCACCAACTGCATTTTAATTTCATCCCCTCCCTTCTCCCTATCTCTCCTCACTTTCGTTGTTGCTGCATTGCCCTGATGGGCAGTTCTAATAATTTTTTTGTTTAATTAAAGACACAGCTGGTTTGCTGGCGGAGAAAGAAAAAGTAACATGGACAATTTGGTGGTAGTAAAAACAGAGGTTTGAGAAAGCATCTCTGGATTGAGAAAAATAGCTGACTTCTTATTTGATGTTGATTTTAAAGTTTTTGAGAAGATTTGTTGTGGTTGAGGTATAGACTTGCAGACCGAGCCAGTAGGTTTGGCTGCAGACGTTCTGTCACCCTGCTAGGTAACATCGTCGTGCGCCTCCGGTGAAGCGTTGGTGTTCTGTCCCGCTTGTTATTTATATGCCTCAGTTTGCGAGTGTGGTTGGCATCACTTCTGCTTTTGTTTTTATTTTGTATTTCTGTTGATTTTATTTAAGAGCTGAGTTCTTGAGTGCCTGTGTGCAGTAATAGTGTCCCTACCACTGAGCAAGGAGACCCGAGTTCAAGTCCCACCTGCTCCAGTGTGTGTAATAACATCTCCGAACCAGGGTGTTTAGAAAATAAAGAGGTGGGTTCTTCCCTAATGAACCTTTGGACAGGGAAAGATGGAACGTGTTAGCATTAAACTATAAATATACAATAAAATGCTTGTAAATCTCGAAGTCATTTTCTTCCGAATGCAACGTATGGATAGTGGTCTGTTAGCCTTCTTAACCTCTACTTCTTCTACATTTATATCAGCAAACTTACCCGACTTAAATTACACTCAGATTGTGAATAGCTGACACCAAAGTACTGGTCCTCAGAGTGCTATGCTGGTCACAGACTGCCAACCTGAAAATAGCCTCCTACCCTCTGTCAATCCATAACACCAAACCAAAGAGTCATAATTTTGTGTAACAATCTCATATACCACCCTAATTAACACATACTGAAAAATACAAATGTACTAGATCTAGAAAAGGGTCCAGAGAAGATTTAACAAGACGCTGCCTGAACTAGAGTTTCAATTAGGAAGAGTGACTGGACAGACTGAGTTTGTTTTCCTCACAACAGAGGGGATTGAGAAGGGCCATGATTGAGATGTATAAAATTACAAGGGGCATGGATGGGCGGACAAAAAGAAACCTTTCCCGGGGGGGATCAATTACCTGGGAGCATGGATTTAAAAGGAAAAAGGAAGGGGGAGAAGATTCAGAGGAGATGTAAGGGAAGTCTTTTTCACCCAGAGGGTGGTCAGAATCTGGAACTTGTTACTTCTAAGGGTGGTAGACATAGAAATCCTCCTAACATTTAAGCAGTATTTAGATATATACTTGTGATGCCAAGAAAAACAAGGTTATGGGCCATGTGCTGGAAAATGGAATTAGTACAGTTAGGTGGTTGTTTTTGACCAGCGTGGACGTGATGGACCTAAAGGCCTTTTTCTATGCTGTAGATCTCAATGACTCTATTACTTGCACAATTAGTTCAATCAACTTGCCATAGACTATTAGGTCTTTCATACATCTGGATTCATCCTATCTAAATGTATGCTGATTTTCTGAAGAAGGGTCCCGAACCGTAACGTCAACTTTCCTACTCCTCTGATGCTGCCTGGCCTGCTATGTTCCTCCAGCTCCACACTGTTATCTCTGGCTCCAGCATCTGCAGTTCTTACTGTCTCTGATTCTGCAAAAGCCCTGTTGCCTTGTCCTTAAAATTGATTTCAACATTTTACCTACTAGTGATCTCACCCGAACTGGCCTTGGATTTCGTGTGTTCTCTTGTGAATTGAGGTGTTACATATTCTCCATTCTAACTGATCTAACATAGGAAACTATGGAAGATCAAATCCAACAGTTACCTTCCAATAGAGTTTGTCTACCTTTAGGCCCATTATTTTTTCCAGTGCTATTCCTCTATCCATTGTAAAAACATCAACACTAATTGACTGCATCATACTTATGAAAATACTGAATTCTAAACATGAGTCTATTAAAACAGACTTGTAATTATATTACATTACGAAAACCATAACCTCAGTATGTTTAGATTAGGTTGCCTATCATGAATAAAGATACTGGTGCTTTCCCCTTTATGGGATGAGATTTATAAAAACACAAAGCTTCATACTCAGCAATTCAGTATGAAAAAAAAAATCAGAATTTTAAGGAGTCTGTTCAGTCCAATGCGCACACAGACACAAAGCAAGCCAATCAAACACAAGTGGTTTGATCAGATTAGTAAGCAAAGAAAGTAAGGAATTAAAACTCTTAAAAGACATACACATGACCCACAAAGTCAGTTGTCATTTTCAACAGCTCTTATCCAGCCAGTCTTAAATCAGTTATCCAATTTATTTGCCAAGTTAAATGCAAATCCTAAAATACCAAGACTTGTCTTTATTTTTATGGAGCACTTCTATTACAGTTTGACACTGAGCATGCAACAGTTAAAATACAGCGAGACTTCTTGAATGGAGTCTTACTCTGCTCTCGAGTTAGTCTTCCCAGGTAACATACATTCAGGTTTCGTATCAGCTTCTCAGCAGTATTAAACTGGAAGCACAAATGCACCAGTCACAGAACAGCTCAACAAGATCCGTGGAAACGAACAGCTAAATTTTCTGGGTTTTTTTGAGTTCCAGAATGGAAATTCCTAAACTAATAAGCCTAACGCTTACACTAAGTAAACAAGCCTGTACTGTAATAACAAAATGAATATAAGTAAAAAACACACTATGGGCACTAAAAAGCCTCAAACTTTTTTTGGAATAATGTATTTGAGAGGGTGAAAGTGTCAGTCAGTACAAAACACTGGTGTGATAATGGAATGCATTAAATAATGCTAAGAATTTAATGACTTAGGAGCAGCATTACAAATCACATCTATAGAAAGTAGCAGTTACTATAAGGGCAATCATAATCATTTGCTGCTGAAGTGTTCTTATCAGTGCAAAGAATTGCAAATTACCATAATTTTTGAACAAAATTTTACTGTAGTGTTTTGACAGTGATCCACACAAAATTGTGTTTACCTGTACATTTTTGGCTTAATTGGTGCTTACCTTCTATAGTCATTGCATCACAGAACATGGACATGAAAAGGAAAAAAACAACAATTAGTGCTATACAATATATATCCGTGGAATAAAATATTCCGTAGGAGGGAAAAAAAAAGACATTAACTTATAGTCACTGCATCACAAAACATACATATGAAAAATAAAAAAAAGTGCTATACAATGTATATCCCTAGAATGAAATGCGCCACAGGACAAACGAGCATTAACTTATATCCAGTAAATGATCAACATATTAAATTTGTCTTTCAGGAAAATTCAAAGACTGTTTACTTCAGCACACAATTAACAATTTAAATTATTTTTCTTGCATTAATCCAGTTAAAAATGTTTTTTCCATTGTTTTTATTTTAACTTGATTGAAATCTACGACAGTAAGACAGCAACTAAAATGATTAGGCAGAGATACTGAGCTCAACAATGTAAGAGACATTTCATAATAGAATTTAGGGATTAAAAAGAACAAACTTACAGAATGTCAAACTGAAATCACTAACACATATTAATCACACTAAACAGTTATTTTCACACATAATCCCATGCAATTAACAGAATTTGACTTCTTCACCATAAACTGGAGGCCTTGGGCAGAAGAAATCTCCATTAATCTTGCTTGTCTGCACAACAAGTGTCATTACAAATTAGTAGCTAATTGTACATGAACTACTTTTAGTCACTTGAGAAGTGTGTTATATCAAAGTATGTGATTCTTGGTCCTTTTTACTTCCTAGCAAGATAAAGATTAAGTGCAAACACCTGCTAGAATGGAAGTGAGCCAGGCTGTAATTGGCTACAGATATGTGGCATTACAATATTAACGGCCATCTCTGAGAGGCATAAGGAAGAAAAGGACAGAAAGTGAATATTAACTTTTTCTGAATATCTCCCTAGAACAAAAATCAATGTGACAGAGGAAAAAAAGGATGATTTTAAGCTTCTCTTTTTTTCAACTGAATAAGCAAGTCTTTGACATCTATTAGAAATCAATCGGAGTTGGTAGCCCACAACAATTCTACTTACAGAGAACGTTGAACTCCCATCCTATAAGTGGGGTTCAAATTTAAACAAAAACTAACATGTGAGCTAAGGTGTGGATGGGTCTTTATTAGGCATTGATCTGGTCATTAGATGTAGGCCTAGGTTTGACCTTTCCAACATTCTCTTTGTGAAGTCCTGTACATACTCTTACTCATCCAAAACACTTGCCACATGTATGCTTCCTCACACTAAGTTTCACATACCCATTATTCTTGTTCTCAATGATTTACACAGGACCAGTGCACTGAATATTAAATTCTCAGTCACAAATCTCTCAAGAATTTTCTTCCAATCTATTCTGTGACTTCCTCCAACGTTGTTACAGGCCATCCTCCGCTGTCTTCCAACTTTAGTGTCCTCCCTTCAGTCTGCCCTTCCCGCAATGCTACACCTTTAGCCCCACTCTCAAGAATTCTACTAACTGCTTACTTTCTCTATTACCCTTTACAAAAGCATACAAGAAATCCATCTTTTTAGCAGAATTACAACCAACTTTTCTTTTACTGCTCAGGATCTACAGCGCTTTGATTATGCACTTTGGGACATTCATTAAATCCCACTTGTTTTACCTATTAGTTCAATGAAGTGCATGCAAAACACACTTGGGACATCACAGCGATTTGATATGCGGTACCAACTGACCAGTGACAGCATGTAAGGAAAAGAAAATACTTTAAACATTACATTTTTGGGATTCATCTCTTTAGAAAAGAAAAAACCCTCAAATGATTTCCATCTATTAATCTAGATTAGAAGGGAGACTGGGTTAAATAGGACTCTGTTCTGTTTTCCAATTCAGAATTTATAGTAAAAAAACCCATTGACATTCTCCTAGCAAAGCCATTCACCACAACTGACCTCATTTCTTTGAGTCCTTCAGTCTCTATAACGTGCAGAATCTGTTTGGGGGTCATTGGAGCATCTGAGTAATTTTCCAACACCTGTGGACAGATATGTACTGAAATCCAAGTCAACCATTACCTGACAGCACAAAAAAGGTTGAAAAGAAAAGATCATGTGCAGCAATATATGTGATGTAGGTTCTTTAATCTAAAGGACTTTAAAGCAAATACAGTCAGTTTGCAGACTATGGCCACATTACTGTTTAAGATACAATTTATAGGAAGATTTTTTCATAAATTAATATTTTCTAATAGCTGAAGACAGAATAAAATAATTCA